AATATTTTAAAAATAAAATAAAAACGGACGAAACACGCTTGAACCATGTCATGAGTGTTGGAGTTGTATAGTTTGTCCACCAGAGGGCACTTTACACCGCACTTTTTTTAAGGGCACTTTAAAAAATATCGGCCGATATATCGGAATATCGGATTTTAAAACCAAAAAATATTTGTATTGGTACCGGCCTTCAAAATCATTTATTGGTTGAGCTCTAGAACGAAGCCATTGGATTAGCGTTCTACCATATTACTCACTGTAATTTTGGCATGAAGTTTGTTGTGATTTTACAGATTTTTTTTTTTTCACTCTCAGATAAACTTGTCACTTGGCAGGTCATGTGATCCCAGTGTAGCTTTCTACAATTTGAAAAGTTTATAATTTTTTACAAATTGTATACTGTGCCCCATGCATGTCTTCCATTCCGAACGCAACTTGTTTACATGTCTATAGTCAACAAACAGAACTTTAGGGAAAACTAAAGTCTTGCGTGAATATGGCCAGCTGTGGAATGGCATCTTTCTTTCTGTCTGTTTCACTCTCTCTCTCTCTCTCTCTCTTCTAGTAGAAGTGGCACCAGACGGCCCTTCGGCCCTTATAAGGTGAAATCAGCGCGCCTGGTAGAGTAAAACAGAACCATATGTCGCACACTGACTCCCTCGCGCAGCTCCGCCGTGGGGCCCGGGCTCTGGCGCGGAGCTGCACACAGGAGCCTAACTTCTGCTAATATAAACCAAAGAGGTCAGATTTATATGGTCATGTTCACAGGCCGCACACTGGTGCATTATGTTACAGAGGAAGAGGTAACTAGAGCTGCGTTCACAAAGAAACACGTGTGTCCTTGCATCCATTCATGCGCTGCGGTTCTGATAACTTTATTTTGGCTCCATAATGAATAGCTCATGTTGTTGTGAATATGGATTTGTAACAAAACCCCATTTCCACCCTCTCGCTGGCCGTGAATCAGGACGGATTCTGGTCACATGCATGAGCGTCTTCTTTATGACATCATTAGAATTCTATTTTTAGAAGCATGATGTCATAGTTGGATCTTCCAGTGACTAATGGGATTGTGGGAACTCTTTTAAACGGGAAGGAATGTTTGATTTGAAGTTTAGAAGTGTTTTAGTTTTTAGTTTGTGTTTTAGTTTATGATTTATTTAAATATGTAAATGTTGGGTATTTTCCCTTCACTGTGATCAAGTGATCAGTTGACTTAACTTAAAAAAAGTTTATGATTTGAATATGTAAATATTGCATATTGTGCCTTTACTGTGATCAAGCGATCAGTTGACTTAACTTAAAAAAAGTGAGGAAACCCGTTGCCTTAAAATTATTAAGTGAATAAACTTCACGACACGTGTAATTGAAAAAAATAAGTTCTGTGAACTTACTTTTTTCAATTACACTGTAAAAATATTTTCATGATTTGTAATCACAACATTTTTTCTTTTGTCAAATCAACTTAGATAATTTATGTAGTTCAGATAACATAATATTTTGAGTTTCTGATGATTAAATCAATCTTCATTGTATTAACTCAATTTTTCCATTTCAATGAACTTAAATTCAAGGCAGCCAGGTTACTAATATTTTTAAGTTAAACCAACAATATTTTTTAACAATGTACGCATGAAGTTTATAATATTTAGCTTATTCAAATTCAAGTTAATTCAACTGTTCCACTTTTTACAGTGTAAAGCAAATCACGTCTATTAAGTTTTTTTTGTTCTGTGACATTTATTGCAAAGACAAATAATTTCCCAAATTTTTAATAATTTTAATAAATAGTTTTTTTTAGGTATTTTTACTATTTACAAGAAAAACAAGCATTCAAGAACGCTCACTAAACTATTTTAAAAATAATATATATCGTTTTGTTTAGATTCAATATTCTTTTATTTATAATGAAAATGTCAATAGAAATTATTTTATTTCTAATTTCTAAAAACATATATTTTAGCATTCATTTGAACCCTCAGTCATTAATAAAAATCCTTAAATGAGATGTATAGTATACTTTTTCTTTGTATAGTATATCTTCCTTCTCTTTTGATTTTTAGATGAAATGTGACCTGAACATGTACTTTGAACCATAAACCATAAAAGTGATTAACACCGCATCATATAGTGTGTAAAGAATACCATGGTATATGTCCAAACAAACACGGAGGTGCCCTGATACGTTTTGGTGACTCTTGAGCGTTTCTTTCAGCTGTAGTTATGAAGTAAGTGTGTTGTCAGTGTTCCCGCCTCTCCGTCCAGCAGAAAAACAGCACGACCACAATCCGTTCTTCACTGTTGAAGTGAATCTGGACGTTAAATCAAGCCTTTCAAGCGCTGCATGGAAAATGTGAGCCACACGTGAGAGCTGCTTCATATTGGAGTCCTACCGTTCACGTCTCCAGAAATCAGGCTCTCAGAAACACTGAAGCCTGTGTGGAAATCACCCGCTTCTGCGATCAATAAACCACATAAAGAAATGAAGCAGCGACATACAAATAAAGAGAAAAATCTCCAAAGCAGATATTTAAAGATTAATCCTGCACAACTGCAAACCCTGGATTAGCCTTCTCATTTCCATATTTATGAGTTTAATACCACTGCTTGTTTTTCCAGCATGTTAAAGTTTCCCTGAGGTTCACTTATAATGTTAAAAAAGTTTTTGTCTGAAATGATCAGTTTTTAAAGGAGTAGTTTACTTTAAAAAAAAAAAAAAACTTTTGCTGATAATTTACTCACCCCCATGTCATCCAAGATGTCCATGTCTTTCTTTCTTCAGTCGAAAAGAAATTAAGGTTTTTGATGAAAACATTCCAGGATTTTCTCCATATAATGGACTTCAATGGGAACCAAACGGTATAAGGGTCTTATCTAGCGAAACGATCGCTCATTTAAAAAATAAATAACAAAGTTTAAGAAAAATGGTCCAAGGAATCGTTCGGTTTGTATGCGGACCGAACCGAAATGTTTCAATACGAATACATACCGTTACACCCCTATTATCCAGTGTAGACAGCGTCAGTCATTATAATGCGTTCTTATATCATTTAACGCGACGCTAAAAGTAATGGATATTGATATTGCGGGATCTGTGATGCATACGGGCAAACACATTTGCATATGACTGCCTTCAGAGAAAGACATTGACGAATAGTTTTACACATTCGCATCATAGGCCCCGCCCACTGGCGTTCATTCACTTAACAGCTTTTTTTCTGACGTTTTGAAGGTTTTGTCCGTCTTCTGTGTCGTACGTGGGGTCAGCGGTCACCGGTTCTGCCGGAACGTTAACATGGCCGTTGCCGGAAGCCAGTGATTATTGTTTATAAGTTTTTAGATTGGGATATTTTTTCACTTTTTTTTCGGTTAATAAAGAAGGCCTTTATTAACCCACTGGAGACGAATGGATCACTTTTATCATGCATAGATGCACTTTTTTGAGTTTCAAAAATATCTATTCAACGCCATTATAAAGCTTTGAACTATTTTAAGTCCCCCTGTGGTGAAAATCAAGCTTTGATTTATGTGTCTATGTGGTGTTTTTAAAAAGCTTTAAGACAAACCATGTGTAAATTCATAAGTCGAGTATTTTCTTCTTAACTTCAAACGCGGTTTGAAATCGCTGGTGTTTCTGACGTCGCACACTACCTTGTAACCAATCGGATCAACGTGTGATCGCCAACGAGTGGATCTCTGAGCTGAGTTAGTCAGTGGAGGCGGGGCTCATTTGCATATTCATAGAAACATTCTATGGATTCCGGGGGACTTTAATATAACTGACAAGAATATAGTTTCATTATAACTAACCCTTTAAAGGGATACTCCACTTTCTTTGGAAATAGGCTCATTTTACCACTCCCCCAGAGTTAAACAGTTGGGTTTTACCGTTTTCGAATCCATTCAGCCGATTTTCTGATATTTAGAAGAATATCAGTAACCAGACAGTTTCTGGTCTCATTGACTTCCATAGTATATTTTTTTCCTACTATGGAAGTCAATGAACCAGAAACTGGTTACTGATATTCCTCTAAATATAAAACAAATCGGCTGAACACATTCGAAAACGGTAAAACCCAACTGTTTAACTCTGAGGGATGGTAAAATGAGCCTATTTCCAAAAAAAGTGGAGTATCCCTTTAAGGCTGAAGTTTCTCGACTGTTACCTGGCCGTCATCTCGTGACTCGGATGGTATTTCCCTCCATTCCAGTTGCTTGAATAAACTTCACTATCGCTGATTCTGAGGAAAAACACTTTCATTCAGTATGCACTGAGAACGGTCAGATTTGTTACCATAGTTGCGCACACACACACACGCCGTGTTGCGTAACGTGATGATGCGTACGATCTCCTCCTGTTAGTGAGCAACTGAGGAGGATCTGACACAATAACGACTTTAGCAGAGGCTTTTCAACAGCGTTGAGGAAAACGCCTCCTTCTCTCTTACACAGTCTGTCTGGAATGGACAGATGTTTCCTTCTGGGAACAGTTCACACACACACACACACACACACTCAGTTGTGCCGTGTCTGCCAACAAAATTGGCTTTATTGATTGGTGTGTTAATCAGGAAGACTGATGATGATTGGTCCATACTTTGCATCACTACGCTTTAAAATGAATTCAGATCGAAAACAGTTTTACAGTTTTAGTTGTAATAATAATATTTCATAATATCATTGTTTTACTGGATTTCGGATCAAATAAAGGCCTTCTTGATGAGTAGTAGAGACTCGCTTGACCCAAAAATGTATTTTCAGTCATTAACTAATGTTGTCTAAACCTGTGTGATTTGTGTGAAAAGTGAATCAATCGCACGACTTCAGGAGACTTGTAATGCCGTGCACGAGTCACATGATCTCCTTTCATGATGCTTTAGTGCTCCGTTGTTTGGTCCCCATTCACTTTCAAAGAGCAGCATGAACATTCGAGCTGGAGTTTGAGTGTGTGTGTGTGTGTGTGTAGATGTCTAAGTGTGTCTTTCTGGCTTCTGTTGCAGAGATCTGTCCAGAAACCACATTCCCTCTGTGGATTGGAGCCTCTTTGATCACCTCACCGCCCTCAAGGAGCTGTAAGTGCCACGTCTCCCGTGTGTGTGTGTGTGTGTGTGTGTGTGCTGGAGACGCAGTCCTTGTGTACGTCTGTAATGGGTGGTCTGGGGAGATCGTGTGCTTGGATAATAGGTGGTCTGGTGTAATCCTGATCTTGTGCTAAAGCAAAAAGGCAATTGTTTTGTAATCTTCTAATCTGCAACTTCCTGTTTGCTGCCCCTCCAGGTATAAGTTAATTATATATTCATTATATTTTCCTCTTTTAAGACCGTTGAAATTATTTTCAGCACATTTTCTCTCCAGATTCTCATTACTGTAATGCTGTCATATGTACCATCAATAATATTTATAACGGGGTTTGCAATTTAAGTAATATATCATGATGTTTTGGCAGCATTTCTGCAATATTATTGATAATACTGAATTATTATTTATTAATTATAAAGTATTTTGTTTTATTATGTGTAACAGAATATATTCAATAATACGAAATAATATTATCATGGCATTTTTTTATTGCCGAAGACTTGAATGATTGGAAAATATTGATATTAAGTTAAATTAATATTTAAATTAAGTTGAAATAATCTTGTAAAGTGAAATTATTATTATTATTAATACATTATTAATTAGATATATGAATTAGAAATTATAAAGTGTTTAATTTTATTATGTGTGACGCAATAATATAATATATCATGACATCTTTTATTGAAGTGGACTATATTATTGATGGTGGAAAATATTTAAATGAAGTTAAATTAATATTTAAATTAAGTTATATTAAATGACTAATTAAAATGCTAAAAAAAATGATATAAAGTGAAATAATTATCATTGTAATTATTATTTTTAATACATTATTAATTAGACATATGAATTATAAAGTATTTTATTATGTGTAACTGAATAATATGCAATAATATAATGTATCATGAAATCTTTTATTGAAGTGGACTATATTATTGAAGATGGAAAATATTTAAATGAAGTTAAATTCATATTTAAATTAAGTTATATTAAAATTACCTTAATTAAAATGCTAAAAAAAAATATATTATCATTGTAATTATTATTTTTAATACATTATTAATTAGACATATGAATTATAAAGTGTTTTATTATGTGTAACTGAATAATATGCAATAATATAATATATCATGAAATCTTTTATTGAAGTGGAATATATTATTGAAGATGGAAAATATTTAAATGAAATTAAATTCATATTTAAATTAAGTTATATTAAAATGACCTTAATTAAAATGCTAAAAAAAATATATTATCATTGTAATTATTATTTTTAATACATTATTAATTAGACATATGAATTTTAAAGTGTTTTATTATGTGTAACTGAATAATATGCAATGATATAATATATCATGACATCTTTTATTGAAGTGGACTATATTATTGAAGATGGAAAATATTTAAATGAAGTTAAATTCATATTTAAATTAAGTTATATTAAAATGACCTTAATTAAAATGCTAAAAAAATTATATTATCATTGTAATTATTATTTTTAATACATTATTAATTAGACATATGAATTATAAAGTATTTTATTATGTGTAACTGAATAATATGCAATGATATAATATATCATGACATCTTTTATTGAAGTGGACTATATTATTGATGATGGAAAATATTTAAATGAAGTTAAATTAATATTTAAATTAAGTTATATTAAAATGACCTTAATTAAAATGCTAAAAACACATCAAATCAAAATATAAAGTGAAATTTTCTTGTTTTTTATTCAATTTTTTAATTTTGTTATGGGAGCTGAACATAATATTAAGTAAAACGCTAAAATACTAAGCACATCAGATCAATATGAATCTTTTTATTTATTTTTCGCTATGATTAATAATAAAAAGCTGTTTGTTTATGATTGAATGCACATTTGCTGTGTAAGTGAACATTACTCAAGCAGAAGACCTGGAGTGTGTGTTGGCTTCTCTCCTCAGGTATCTTCAGAGCAATCGTCTGGTCACTCTTCCTCACGGGATCTTCGGCTGTGGGCCGTTAACTGTGCTGTAAGTGTGTGTGTGTGGCAGGATGCTCTAGTTCCCAGACCTTTTTTTTTTTCAGCTCATATGGTGAGAATGTGTAGGCGGATCGTTCTGGAGTCTGTCCCGAACCGCAGAGTCAAACTGAACAGCTCTCTAAGCTCAAACTAAAGCAAAATAAGCAGAAAAGTCAATCAGTTACGTTTATGTTTGTTGTGTGAACAGTAACAGACGTGCACCTCAACTACAGCATTTTTAACACACACACACACACACACACATTGTGAGTTCAATCACATGCCCATTACAACCAATTAAACGTCATTGCTTCAGGCTTTGACTGCACCATTTCCTGCTCCAATTTGGTACACACACACACACACACACACACACACACACACACTCTGTCTGGTTCACCAAAATCACTCCAGAACTTTTCCATATGCTGCTCCAACAGCTGAACAAGGGAACGATTATACTGAGGGGAACAGAAAGAAGTGACTTAGAAAGAAGGAAAGAATCCTGAGCAATAATATACGTTTCACTCTCGTTTTTCGTGTCTTGCAGAGATTTGAGCAACAACCAGATCACCACCATCGAGGAACGAACATGTGATAATTTATTTAATTTAACGACAATGTGAGTACGAGCAGTCACACACATCACTGATAACCTGTTCTCAAACATTCAAAACAAGAGCTGACGAGGAGCCGAATGACCTTGGATGTAAACTAGATCTTAAAGGAGTAGTTCACTTTAAAAAAAAAAAAAACTTTTGCTGATAATTTACTCACCCCCATGTCATCCAAGATGTCCACGTCTTTCTTTCTTCAGTCGAAAAGAAATTAAGGTTTTTGATGAAAACATTACAAGATTTTTCTCCATATAATGGACTTCAATGGGAACCAAACGGTTCAAGTTCCAAAAGACAGTTTCAGTGCAAACTGCTCAAAGGGCTTTAAACGAACAAACTCAAACTCGTTTGTCAAAATGAACGAATCTTTTTCCGAGACATCTGGTTCATTCAACGAACGAAACGAACGAGTTGACTCTGAAAAAAGATTTGTTCATTTTGATGGAGAGTTACGAACGCGCATCACAGAACAAAGCAAGGCGAGCATTTGAGCTTCTAAAACTTAAACTTTGTTATTTATTTTTTAAATGAGCGATCGTTTCGCTTGATAAGACCCTTATTCATCGTCTGGAATCGTTTAAAGCCCTTTGAACAGTTTGCAGTTTGCACTGAAACTCTCATTTGGACCTTGAACCGTTTGGACCCCATTGAAGTCCATTATATGGAGAAAAATCCTGGAATGTTTTCATTAAAAACCTTAATTTCTTTTCAACTGAAGAAAGAAAGACGTGGACATCTTGGATGACATGGGGGTGAGTAAATTATCAGCAAAAGTTTTTTGAAAAATGAGCTACTCCTTTAATACTGCGTGTGTGTGTCTATGTGATTAGAAGAGACGTCCATTGCACATAAACCAGCCACACACAAGTAAAGACACATGATGAACTGCTCGGTAATGCTTTAATAGTGATAGATTATAAATGACTTGTTCTCAGACGTTTTTAACAATAAAAATGAAGCCTCTCATTAAGATTTCTCTGCATTATTTTCAGCATTATTTTCTCTTCCAGATTCTCATTACTGTGAAGCAGTGAATGTGACACAATGCCTTTTAAATAAAACATTTGCTTTAATTAAAGTCAATACAAATCTTATGTCATCATGTACACTGTAAAAAAATATTGTCTTTTGTTAAATCAACTTAAATCATTTATGTAGTTCAGATAACATAATATTTTGAGTTTTTGATGATTAAATCAATCTCCTTAATTGTGTTAACTCAATTTTTCCATTTCAATTAACTTAAAATTTTAAGGCAATCAGGTTACTTCATTTCTTAAATTAAACCAACAATTTTTTTTACTTACAAATAATGTACACGAGCAATTTAAATCATATATCATGACATATTTTATTGCAGTAGTGTATTCTATGTTATTTTATTGTATATTTATTTGAGGAGCTGAATACATAAAATAATACTAATTATTATATAATGAAATTATTTATTGTAGCAGACATTCATTTTTAATTATTTCAATTTTATTTGATTAAACAAATAAATGTAATACTATTAATGCGTTATTTTTTTACTGAATAGACTTTTTATTTTTATATTTAAGATTTTAAATAAATAATTTTTATTTTAGCTAACTGGCTGATTAGTCTACTCCAATCAAAGAGGACATGATATATTATTTAAATCTATATAAAGTACAAAATAGTGTAGCGTCTTATTGGCTGCAAAAAGTCTACTTTACTTCTTTTAATTTTATTGCAGTTACTTTTTACCAAATGATAATGGTTATCATCTTGTTTTGAAGTTTAAAGAAACATTACGATTATTTTTCCCTTTGTGATTTAATAATAATTAGCATATTATCCAATGGTTAAATAGTCTTATCCAGATTCTATTTGCTAAAGCTTCCTTTCATTCCCTGATTAAAATCCCCATTTGAACTCTCTTCAGTTCTGCAGTAATTCTAGATTAGATGTTGTGTTCACTTGTGTTATTGTCCAATAAGACTCGAGCTTGACCTCAGGGTCCGTCCACACGTTGGCGCAGAATAATGCCATTTGAATAGAGACCGTATAATGTGTTCAGCCTATGCCTGTGTGATCATTCCCTGTGTCCGGCAGAGATCTGAGCTCGAACCCGTTCGTCTGCGACTGTAAGCTGGTGCGGTTGGTCGGCTGGTTGCAGGAAAAGGGCGTTCGAGTGAAGCGACCCAACTCTATGCTCTGTGACCGTCCACCGGAAGTGAAAAACCAGCCCCTGCTCAACGTCAGTGTGCACACCTGCGGTGAGAGACACACACACACACACCTGGAGCGGACTATACACAGTTTGGCACACTTTATTTCCATAGTAGGAGAAACCTTGTGTTATAGACGGCTTTCGATCCCCAAATCCCCAGCATTCACCGTGGATGTAATGTAGTAATGCTAACTGTAATCATGGGTTTGTGGCGGAAATTGTCGGGTTTTATTTTTTTGACATTATACATTTCAGTGTGTGTGTCCAAAAAGAGCTTCACGCTTTTTCCAGCACTTCAAAACTCTGAATATTATCCAATTTTAATGTTATTTTTTTAATGTGATGAACTAAAAGTTTAAAGATGTAGGAAAACGAACGCTTTTGTGGCAAATTAAAAAAAATGACTTATTGATTATTGATATATTATCCCATTTCCACTCCATAATATATGGAAGTCACAAAGTCTCATGAAAAACGAAAACTTTTCTTCAAATTGTGACTGAATTACACAGAAAGCAAGTAAAGAGGATGCTCACTTCGGGATGAAACTATAAAAGAACGATGGTAAATTTAAAGGGATAGTTCACTTTGAAATTAATTTTTGATATGTTTTAGCTTACCTCAAGGGCATCCAAGATGTAGGTGTCTTTGTTTCCGCAGAATTTTCAATTTTGATATTTTTAGGTCAAACCGTTCTTGTCTGTCAGTCAATGGAGGTCTATGGTCACCACCTCAAAAAGCATGCACAGAGAAGTCCAAATTAAACATGATTGAATGACTCGTAAATGTAAGTACACACTGATGGCCTAAGACACGAAACGAGCAGTTTGTGTGAGAAAACAAACAGTATTTATATCGTTTTACCTCTTGTAACCACAGCCACGTCCAACTGATCTGAGGGCGTGGGCACTGTCTGTGTTTACAAGAGATAAAAACGCTATAAATACTGTCCGTTTTCTCACACAAACCGCTCGTTTCGTGTCTTAGACCATCAGTGTGTACTTACATTTACGAGTCATTAAATCATGTTTAATTTGGACTTCTCTGTGTATGCTCTTTAAGGTGGTGACCATAGACCTCCATTATATAACTGACAGACAACAACGGTTTGACCTAAAAATATCAAAATTGAAAATACTGCGGAAACAAAGACACCTACATCTAAGCTAAAACATATCAAAAATTAATTTCAAAGTGAACTATCCCTTTAATACGAGTAGAATACTAAAAGTTTTAGTTTCTCACATTGCCGTCGTTAATAAAAATTCATTTTACCTGCATATCAATTCAAGCCCAGTGCTTTACTGTTAAATTCCCAACAAACAAACATATTATTAGTGTGCACTTATTAATGCAAAGCATATGACACATCTTCCCCCTGTGTGAACAAATCAGGCGATCTATAGACCTGCAGTTTACCTTCGGTTACAATTACCGAGGGAAATAAATAATGCAGTACAAACACACATTTATTCATTCAGCAGATGCTTTTATCCAAAGCCACTTTACATAACAAGAGACAACAATATTCATAACAGACAACTAGAACTAGAAATGCAGAGAAATGCTACACTAAGGCCTTGAATAAATAATAATAATAATAATACATTTTATTTATTTGGCGCCTTTCTGGACACTCAAGGTCGCCTTACAAAAAATACAATAAAACAAACTATAGTAAAAACTTGCATAAAAACATGTTAAAATACATCATACATAAATCATAAAGTAATGGCATATTGTGTTTATACTCCTTATTCACGGCAGCCAGTGGTGGAGGAAGTACTGAATCTCAGTTCTTAAGTAAAAGTACAAATACCCAGATAAATATTTACTTTAGTAAAAGTAGAAGTAACACAATGACAACCATACTTAAGTAAAAAGTAAAAAGTACTTTATTTTAAATGTACTTTAAGTATTAAAAGTACTTGCATAACAATTTATTATTTTAATGTCTATTTTCTAATGATTAATAAAACATTTAATTCTAACTCATTCAACCTAATAGCTCACTCCTATAATGATGTTCAATAATGATGGGAAAAAAGTCACCATTTCTGAAACAAGCTTGCAATTAGGCAATATCATGCTTATCCTTACAATATGTTAATAACTATGTTTGGCAGCAAACGCGATTCATTTATGGTGTAATTCTGAACCTCTTGGCTTGCCATAATCCCAACCAAACCAAACATATGTTACACACGGTGTGTTTCCTATGCACCTAAAAACTATTTCGCGTATGAGTTGCATGATAAACACACTGCGTGTGAGACGCATTTAGTGTGACCGGGTTGATATACTGTATCTATGGCAACCAAACGTCACTGGTGAGCCATCTTTGTTTTTTAGTGAGAATGAAAGCGAGGCTGTGAGGGATAGACATGCATCTCTTCAATGGGCTGTACTGTTATTTAATGTGTTTTCGGATTGTTCTGCTCATGAAACACTGGAAAAATATCTTTCCAAGAAATTTCAATTGACCAAAAATTGTAGGTTATCTAGCCGCTTTTTTACAGCGGCTGCCATTGGAAACACGGTAAGTCTATCCCTCACAGCCTCACTTTCATACCGGTCATGGCGCTGCTCTAAATAAGGTCTATTGAGAGCTTGAATTGGTGATTCCCGTCCCTCTCTCAGGCCTGACGTACGCGGGCTGCCTGGAGGACGAGGAGCACGTGGCGGGTGTGGAGCTGGTCATCTTCTCGTCCTCCACTCCCGGGCCGTTCTCGCGGGAGGAGTGCAACTCGAAGTGTTTCCATGAGAACCAGCTGTACGGCGGGCTGGGTCAGCAGAGGGAGTGTCTGTGCAGCACCAACTCCGAGCCCAACCACATCAGCGAGTCGCAGTGTTCGGCCGCCTGCGCCAACCCGCAGGTCATGAAGAAGTGTCGCTGGACGGTGGCGCACGACGTGTTTCAGGTGCTGTCCCGCAGAGATCACACACACCTGAAGCGGATGAGCTAGCTCTTCACAAGCACAAGCTTGGGTCTTGTTTTAGTTTGAAAACGCTTTTTCTCTCCGTTTTGGCCTTCCGTTCACACTGAGACGGCGCTTTGATTAATGAAAAAAGAAAGCGCCGGTTTCCAAACATGTTTAGTCATGTGACACATATTGAACCTATTGACATTCATGTTTACTCCGGTATTGTGCTTGTTAGAGGAGTAGTTCACTTTTAAAAAAACTTTTGCTGATAATTTACTCACCCCCATGTCATCCAAGATGTCCACGTCTTTGTTTCTTCAGTCGAAAAGAAATTAAGGTTTATCAAGTCTATATAATGGACTTCATTGGGAACCAAACGGTTCAAGGTCCGAATGAGAGTTTCAGTGCAGCTTCAAAGGGCTTTAAACGACACCAGACGATGAATAAGGGTCTTATCGACAAATGAAATGACTCGAAAAAAGATTTGTTCATTTTGAAGAACGAGTTCGAACAGGAGAGTTACGAACGCGCATCACAAAACAAAGCAAGGCAAGTATTTGAGCTTATAAAACTTAAACTTTGTTATTTATTTATTAAGTGAGCGATCGTTTCGCTTGATAAGACCCTTATTCATCGTCTGGAATCGTTTAAAGCCCTTTGAACAGTTTGTAGTTTGCACTGAAACTGTCGCTTGGACCTTAAACCGTTTGGTTCCCATTGAAGTCCATTATATGGAGAAATATGGAATGTTTTCTTTTTTTTTTTCCACTTTTAATTTTTATTGGAATTTTATAACAACACCCACTTAAACAAAAAAGGGAAAAGAAAAAAAAAAACGTTTTCATGAAAAACCTTAATTTCTTTTCGACTGAAGAAAGAAAGACATAAATATCTTGGATGACATGGGGGTGAGTAAATTATCAGCAAAAGTTTTTTTAAAACTGAACTATTCTTTTAAATTACGATGTCGTAATAAATCCAAATCAAAAAGTCTGTTTGCTCGTCAGCCATGTTTGATCTAGCCATCCGAGATCAAGTCCATCATATTTCCAATCAGCATCAAAATCTGACTTGAACTGTCCTATAAATGTTGTTCCTTATTGTATGTAAAAAAAAACGTTACTATGTCATAATGATTTGAACTCATTCTCCGCCCACAGGTGAATTTCTCCGCCTCTCTTCCTTCCCGTCGCGTGTCCGTTCACTCCGAGGCCGTCCTGTCTGTCACCTCCTCCGTCTTCCCCGCCTCTCTCTCATGGGACTTCGGTGACCTTTCACCCCGGGTCAACAGCTCCACGCCCAACACCACGGCGAGGCACAAGTACGGGGTCCCGGGACGCTACCAGGCTCAAGTGAGTCTCTCGGCGGGTCACCAGGAGATCGTGGCTCAGGGGGGCGTGAGCGTGGATCTGCCGCCCCGACTCGAGCTCCACTGCCCTGCACTCGTAGTGGCCAATCAGAGCCTGGAGGCGGAGCTCTCTCTGGTCAACTGGGGCGGAGTGGGCGTGACCGTGGACTGGAGGATCCAGAAGGATGGGAGAGAGATAGCAAAAGGTACGAGAAGCATACGCTCTGATTTAAGAATTAATATGCGGCTTTTCCCGCCGGGCTTTTACTCTAGCGGTGTATCATCATATCAGAGGGATTTCTGAAGGGTCATGTGACACTGAAGACTGGAGTAATGATGCGGAAAATTCAGCTTTGATTACAAAAATAAATTACATTTTATCAGATATTCAAATAGAAAATGATTGTTTTAAATTGTAATAATATTTTGCAATATTACTGTTTTTACTGTAGCTCTGATGACATTTTATTATATTTATATATATATTATTTTATTTATTTATATTTTTATTATATTTATATTATATTTATATTTATTAATTATATTATATTTAGTGCTGTCAAATTGTGATTAATCAAATTGTTTTTGTTTACATAATATGTGTGTGTGTGTGTATATATATATATATATAATATATACTGTTTATGAATATATGTATACACACACACATTTTATATATATACAATATATATATGTATAAATATGTGTTTGAAAGTAAATACAGTATACACACACACAGGCATATAGCAAATTTCTGAAGGATCATGTGACACTGAAGACTGAAAATTGAGCTTTGATCACAAGAATTAATTTACTTTTTAACATATATTCACATAGAAAACAATTTATTTTAAATTGTAATAATATTTTCACTATATTAATGTTTTTACTGTATTTTACCAAGACTCTTTAAAAAAAATTGTGATATTGTGCATATATATTATTGTGTTTGTGTATGTGTGTGTTTATATATATATATATATATATATAATATATACTGTGTATTTGAATATATGTATACACATACACACATTATATATATATATATATATATATATATATGAAGAGTTCAGATGCAAAAGCCTTTAAATGCCATTTGAAATTTTCTTCTTTAATGATGATTTTTATCAAAATTGTATATTTAAGTTCAGTAATTTCACTTAAATAACAATTAATAGGTAATTATCATTGCCATTTAAGTGAAATTACTGAACTTAAATATACAAGCTTGATAAAAATCATCATTAAAGAAGAAAATTTCAAATGGCACAGAGGCTTTTGCATCTGAACTCTTCATATATATATATACACACACACTATGTATGTATAAATATATAGTATGAGAGTAAATACACACACACAGACATATATATATAATAGAATATATCATATATACACATTATATATGTGAACACAATATGCATACATGATTAATCATGAATAATCAATTTGACTGCACTAATTATATTATTACAAATTTATTATAGTAAAAAAAAGAAAATCAATGGCCTGATTTGAGCTAAAGAAGCACAATTTATGAGACCGATCAGATTTAATATTGAGTAAAATAGTAAATTAGACTAGATTAACCTATTTCATTCAGCGTTTCAATATTATTAAATAGTGTAATTCATAAAAAAATAAATTTCTCTGCTATTTTCAATGGGTTTTTTCTTTGTATACGAGTTTTATACTCGTCCCTATGCATTGTGTGATTGTTATCACGAAACATGAAGGCCATATTAAAGTGTCTCGTCTGTAGCGTTTGGACGTTTCATGTCTCGTCTTGATGGACAGTTCAGTATTTTTGGAGAACTACACATCCAAACTGCACAATCTTGATGACACACGCTCACATCAGGATATAACGCGCTTTGAAACGACCATGTACTCTCTCTCCCTCTGAAAATATCCTGCTTATCATGATCCATCAAGCCATAAACATCCCCTCTCTTTCACAAAGCATGTGAGCGATGGCATGTGGAGATTCCCTGGTTTGTTTATCAGGCCTGCAGAGATCTGTCCATCACTGTTTGCTTTGAGAGAACAGGACAGAGCGTCGATCCCAGATAAGAGCGGGTTACAGGAGCAGACGAATTATTGATGTGTCTGAATATAACATATACAATAAGCAGGCTTTTCAACTTTTAAAAGGGAGAAAAAAAAAGTTTCCCATATCGTTGGTTGTGGTTGTTGACGTCACTTTGTGAGAGATCCTCAAAGACTGTGAACATAAGATGAAAGAAAATATGAAAATATGGGTTCATGAATGACCCATGCAATTAATAATCCATCAAAGTAATAGTTAATAATAAATAAACAGTGCTTTGTTCTGAGAGTTGTCGGCTTTGTTGTTTTGCACTGAAATCTCATTGATATGTTGATATGGACTTACAGCATTTTTAGCATATTTGTCATTTAATCATTAATATTTGCTGCTGTTTATGCAATTTACCTAATATGCCTAATATGACAGTTATATATTAATCATACAGGTTTTTAAAAAATATTTTAATATTTAAGATATTTTTGCTGTTAATGTTTTCTATTTAATATTATTTTACACTAATCTTCAGATTTATAGGGTCAGAAATAATTTTCAGTTTTTTTTATTAATACTTTTATTCAGCAAGGATGCACTAAATTGATCAAAAGTGACACGTTTATATCATTATAAAAGATTCATATATGAAATAAATGCTTTCTTTTCATCAAAAAATCCTCAAAAATATAATCTATAATCTACTCATCATATTATTCATGATTTCTGAAGGGTCATGTGACACTGAAGACGGGAGTAATGATGCTGAAATTCAAAATGACATTTTTAACATGTATTACAATAGAAAACTTCATTTAAATTGTAATAATATAACTATTATTCATATATTCACATGGAAAATGTGTGATCAAATAAATGCAGCCTTGTTTCTAAAACTGTCAAAATCGTTATATTATATTATCTTATATTGAAAAACTGCTTATAAAGAATATTAATAAAGTGTAACCTGTCCTGTCCCCTCAGCGGAGCCGCTGTGTTTGCCAGATGCGCTCCATCACACGGACTCGTCCCGCTGTTTCCTCTTGGTGTTGGAGGAAGTCAGCTGGTCGGACGCACGTCGGGATTGCTCGGCCCGTGGAGGGGAGCTCGCAGTGGTGCATTCCCAAACCGTCCGGGACCTCCTGGCCCCTCGGATCACACAGTGAGTCACACACGCTCTACGACTGCTGCAAATCTGCTCCCACAAAACCATAGAACTTTCATTCCAAATTCTAAATTCCAAAATTCCGGAACTCCTCGTTCATCCGTGTGTGATTTGATTGTGCGCTTTTAGTCAGTATAGTCACACCATCGGATGAGCCGATGTCCGTTTTATATCAAAGCCGGCTCGAAATGGCACGGAGACGCCGAGTTAAATGACTTCCGCTGATAAAGTTTGCATTGAGAGCAGTTTCCTCTGAAACAGCAGCAAGGCATCATGGGAAATGCCTTTTTAAAATGCATTTTAAAGTCACTGAGAGCTGGCCTGCTGAGAAACTCTGGGAATGTGTGATTTCCTCACAGGAACAAGACGGAACATTCAGAACCAATAAACGTGTCTTATAATGTGACAAAGTGTCTCATTAGAATACTGGATGTGTGAGACGATTACACACACACACACACATATTTTGGATAATGAATTCATGATGTTCTTGCTCATTATATAAATTTTGTAAATTCTGAACACAAAAAAATTAAGGACTGCATCTTTAACATTAGTGAAATATGAATGACGATGAACAATACTACAGCATTTAGCCTATTAATCTTGATTAATGTTAATTTCAACATTTACTAATGCATCGTTAAAATCCGACGTTGTTCATTTGTATTTTTTGTGTTTTTACTGTAACAAATATATTGCTCACTGTTAGGTAATGCATTACCTAATGTTGTCAATGTGTTGCCGTTACATGTACTTACTATAGTAACAGGAAATTATAATTAAATTACAAGCAACTAAACCTTACCGTTAGAACATGTTGTTGATTAATATTACTCAGTACTTAAATGTATAATTATACCGTTACAACGTTGGCCAGTAGAAATATCTTAACATTTTTAATCAAGGTACATTAACTTAAGAAGTATTTGTATTAAGTCTTTAAAAACGTATCACAATTAAGTGAGTTTTTGCTTAAAACACGAAAAAAAAAAATATCTGCCAACAAGGTCAGAAAAATAATTGTGTTTTCCGTCTGAATTTACCATTTTTCTGACTCCATTGGCAGATCTATTTGCTTGTTTAACCTGTTTAGTGTCTCACCCCCCGTTTTTTGAATAGACATGGAAATGCACATTTCGAACTTAAATGGTTGTAATGCAAGAATGCTTTGGAATATAGACTTAAGATTGGTCTTGTTTTAAAGAAGACATTTGGCAGATTTTTTTTGTCAAAGTGAAATAAATTAAGAAAGTGATAATTATTCATCAATTATCAATCAATTATTCACAAAAATTATTCATATTTTATATAAAATATATATTTTCAAAACCTGCAGAAAAATCAAAGGCAAAAATCTGAACAAGTTGTGTTTAAAATTTTAGGTTGATATCTCAAAAAATTAGCTTTTATTGAGGTTTGGGCGCAGTACCGAACGCTTCCACTAGGGCACAACCAGACTCCATTACTGCCCATATAAGGGCGCCTCCATTTCCATATGTGTTTTGAGTGATCTGAACCATCATTTACACAATTTTCATACAATTTATGAAGTAGAGATCCTATTCAGAAGTAGTATGTGAAGTTTGGCAGATTTTAATACGAATTCAACCGCTAAGAAACACATACAAAGATATACAACACGCATGTGCGTTATAGCTTCCTGCCACATCACAAATGGTGAATTTATAATTTTTTTCTTAATATTTAAAACTTTTTCAGACTTTTTTTTTCTAAAATAATTGAATGGATGCAATCTTTTGAACTCTTGGCAAAACAGACCTTTTTTTCATGATTTTTCATGTTCGTTGCTATTTCAAAATAAAGGTCTGAACACGCTTTATGAGTATGAAAATATTCTTGTTGCAAATTGATAAATTACGGCTCCTGTGTAATTTTATTTTGAGACCAAATATGGAAACTAGAGATTGTAAGCTTTCAAATGATATATAGTTTGTCAATATTACTTAAGGTATTTTCTAATATATTATTGTTTTAAAAATATTATGGCAAGCGTCCCACCTGTGGAATATAAAATTACACAGTTTTTTCAGAAAGAAAGAAAGATTTAAAGGGACAGTTTACCCAAAAATTAACCTGTTTGCATTTCTTTCTTCTGCATATTTTGAATAATGTTGAAAACCAAAATATTTTGGTCCCCATTGATTTTCTATTGCAATGGAAATCAATGGGAACCAAAACTGTTCAGTTTTCAGTTCAACAAAAGGTGAGTAAATGACATCAAAGGACATCAAAACCTAAAAATTAAACTTCAGAAAGGTGTACAATATGTGACCTTTAATCTGAAAAATGAGTTATTTGTACTGGAAAACAAAACAAACTTTGACAAGTGAAGTGTAAATCCTGGTTTGTCTTCTGTGTTCATGTCCATGAGATCATCAGTATTTATTACTTTTGCTTGGACAGAAATTCTGACCACCAAGTCTAAACACAAATTACGTTTCTTTGATCAAGTCATGTTGATTTACATAGCGCTTTATACAATACAGATCGTTTCAAAGCAGCTTCACGGTGATGAACGGGAAAACAACTGGTAATTTTGCTACGTTCATCTTGTATCGTCTAAATGTCGAATAAGCTACAGCGTTGCTTCAAGAAAGTTTTATATCATGCTAAATACTTGTAAACGTCATATTAAAAATAGAAAAATAGCTTATTTTGACGTGATTGGTCTAAATGGTGCGTTTCATATCTATTATTCATCAACAGCACAAAAATGGGACAGTCAGTATTCATAATCACAACCTCATTATTAGAGATTTGCTTCCTCTAGATTGTTAATTGCCTCCCCGAACTCAGGGAAGATTGTCCCGCTATGACTGAGCATTAAATGAACCCTCACACTGCTCTCTTTGCTGTCACACCTTAGTCTTAAACTTCTGATATCTACTCGTTTATTCTGTTTCTAAATATTGAATAATCTAGCATCGATGTACACACACACACACACACACACACCGTGGTGTTAAACATCTGCTGAAGCACAGCTGTGGAAATATGTTAGACTCCAGGAGGGAGGAGGCACCAGTTTTGTGTGTGTGTGTGTGTGTGTGTTTCCTGTCTTCTGTTCCACACCCATCATTAATTTGAGGGCAGAGCTTCCACTAACCAGATCGAGAGAGAGAGACAGAACTGCAGACAGACAGAACGAGTGTTGGAGGAAGTGTGTTTTCTATCTCTTTAACCTGCTCCAGATGGACCACATACCCCCAAAACACACACACACACACACACACAGACTTATGTAAGCGAACACACCACTTTTATTGTTCCTTTTGTGGTGAAAAGAGTTGTGTTTTTGTCCCTCTCTTTCCCTCCTCATTTTTTTTCTTTTTTGTTTGTAGTTTTTCACAGATGTGAGATGTTGGCTCAAGCCCATTATAATCGTGTGTGTGTGTGTGTGGCGTAATCGGCCTGTCAAAGGCTGTGGTGTTACTACCGGCGGTCCGGGCGGGACAGCTCATCTGTTCATGCCGTTGCCACACAGTTATAAATTACCATAACTGTGACACGCCTAACTATTCGACACTCAAACTGAATGATGTACATCTCATTTAATAATCTTTATAAGATTGTACAAATATAAATGATATACATTTTAGTCTATTGAACTCGCTAAACTACACGATAACAGTGTTATTTTTGTATTATTTATATTGTAGTTTTATTAATATATTTAATTATCTTTTTTTTATAATAATAATAATAATAATATATATATATATTCAGCCTGGAGTGATAAATCTGTCATCATTTATTCATGACTTTCTGAATATGTGGAGAACAGAAGGAATGTTTTTTTAGCACCAAATTTTACATAATTTGTTTTTTTTTCTTAATTAAGCTTTACATAAACAACAGCAATACGATATGTTGAAACAAGACTTCACATGCGCAATGTTGTTCTGAATACGTAAATAAAGACATGTGATAAGAATCCATACAAATTATACATGTGTATATGTCATATACCTATATATACACACACATACATAAATTATACATATGTGCAATAATTCTACTTACACATCCATGTCTACATTCATACATCTATATTCACACACTCCTACTATTTTTGACCCTCTTTTTTAAATGAGCTTTTTCTATTAGGCCCAGAAACTTCTCTCATTAGTGATGATGCTGTTTGTGTTTCTGTGTGTTGCAGTGAGCGTGGCGTGTGGTTGGGCTTGAGCGATCAGTATTCTCCACGAGTCCTGCGCTGGGTGGACGGTTCTGAGGTCCGGTCGGGGGATGAGGGTTCGAGGGACCGGGCCACTCTGCAGCCTGGAAATGTGTGTGTGTCACTGGACGCCAGCGGCCAGCCCAGCTCACACTCCTGCACCGCCAAACGAGCTTTTGTCTGCCAGTTCACACGGCAAGGTAAAATAAAAATGTGTGGATGTGTACGAATGAAGCGGCTCTTGAAAGAATCAAAGCTGCACTAGTGAGAAACGAAGGTGCGCTAATGAGAAATGAAGCCGTGCTAGTGAGAAATTAAGCCGCACTAGTGAGAAATGAAGTCACGCTAGTGAGAAACGAAGGCACGCTAATGAAAATTGAAGCCGCACTAGTGAGAAACAGAGTGGCGTTTGTAAGAAACTAAGCCACGCTTGTGAGAAACGAAGCCGCACTAGTGAGAAATAAAGTCACTCTAGTGAGAAACGAAGGCGCGCTAATGAGAAATGAAGCCGCACTAGTGAGAAACAGAGTGGCGTTTGTAAGAAACGAAGCCACGCTTTTGAGAAACTAAGCCGCGCTAGTGAGAAACAAAGCGGCACTAGTGAGAAACGAAGGCGCGCTAATGAGAAATGAAGCCATGCTAGTGAGAAACAGAGTGGCGTTTGTAAGAAACGAAGCCACGCTTGTGAGAAACGAAGCCACGCTAGTGAGAAATGAAGCCGCGCTTGTGAGAAATGAAGCCGCGCTTGTGAGAAATGAAGCCGCGCTTGTGAGAAATGAAGCCACGCTTGTGAGAAATGAAGCCGCACTAGTGAGAAACGAAGGCGCGCTAATGAGAAATGAAGCCGTGCTAGTGAGAAATGAAGCCGCACTAGTGAGAAACGAAGTCGCGCTAATGAGAAATGAAGCCGTGCTAGTGAGAAATAAAGTCACTCTAGTGAGAAATGAAGGCGCGCTAATGAGAAATGAAGCCGTGCTAGTGAGAAATGAAGCCGCACTAGTGAGAAATGAAGGCGCGCTAATGAGAAATGAAGCCACACTAGTGAGAAATAAAGTCACTCTAGTGAGAAACGAAGGCGCGCTAATGAGAAATGAAGCCGCACTAGTGAGAAACAGAGTGGCGTTTGTAAGAAACGAAGCCACGCTTTTGAGAAACTAAGCCGCGCTAGTGAGAAACAAAGCGGCACTAGTGAGAAACGAAGGCGCGCTAATGAGAAATGAAGCCATGCTAGTGAGAAACAGAGTGGCGTTTGTAAGAAACGAAGCCACGCTTGTGAGAAATGAAGCCGCGCTTGTGAGAAATGAAGCCGCGCTTGTGAGAAATGAAGCCGCGCTAATGAGAAACAGAGTGACGCTTGTGAGAAACAGAGTGACGCTTGTGAGAAACGAAGCCACGCTTGTGAGAAACAGAGGCGCGCTAATGAGAAATGAAGCCACGCTAGTGAGAAATGAAGCCGCACTAGTGAGAAACGAAGTCGCACTAGTGAGAAACGAAGGCGCGCTAATGAGAAATGAAGCCGCACTAGTGAGAAACGAAGTCGCGCTAGTGAGAAACGAAGTCGCACTAGTGAGAAACGAAGGCGCGCTAATGAGAAATGAAGCCGCACTAGTGAGAAATGAAGTCGCGCTAGTGAGAAACGAAGTCGCACTAGTGAGAAACGAAGGCGCGCTAATGAGAAATGAAGCCGCACTAGTGAGAAACGAAGTCGCACTAGTGAGAAACGAAGGCGCGCTAATGAGAAATGAAGCCGCACTAGTGAGAAATGAAGCCGCACTAGTGAGAAATGAAGCCGCACTAGTGAGAAATGAAGCCGCGCTTGTGAGAAATGAAGCCGCACTAGTGAGAAACGAAGTCGCTCTAGTGAGAAACGAAGGCGCGCTAGTGAGAAATGAAGCCGCACTAGTGAGAAATGAAGCCATGCTAGTGAGAAATGAAGCCGCACTAGTGAGAAACAGAGTGGCGTTTGTAAGAAACGAAGCCACGCTTGTGAGAAATGAAGCCGCGCTAGTGAGAAACGAAGCCGCGCTAGTGAGAAATGAAGCCGCGCTAGTGAGAAACAGAGTGGCGTTTGTAAGAAACGAAGCCACGCTTGTGAGAAACGAAGTCACGCTAGTGAGAAACGAAGGCGCGCTAATGAGAAATGAAGCCACGCTAGTGAGAAATGAAGTCGCGCTAGTGAGAAATGAAGCCGCGCTAGTGAGAAATGAAGTCGCACTAGTGAGAAACGAAGGCGCGCTAATGAGAAATGAAGCCGCGCTAGTGAGAAATGAAGCCGCACTAGTGAGAAATGAAGCCGCACTAGTGAGAAATGAAGCCGCACTAGTGAGAAATGAAGCCGCGCTTGTGAGAAATGAAGCCGCACTAGTGAGAAATGAAGGCGCGCTAATGAGAAATGAAGCCGTGCTAGTGAGAAACGAAGGCGCGCTAATGAGAAATGAAGCCGTGCTAGTGAGAAATGAAGCCGCACTAGTGAGAACTGAAGCCGCACTAGTGAGAAACGGAGTGGCGTTTATAAGAAACTAAGCCACGCTTGTGAGAAATTAAGTCATGCTAGTGAGAAACAAAGTTGTGCTTGTGAGAGACGAAGCCGCGCTAGTGAGGATCGAAGCTTGCGCTAGTGAGAAATGAAGTTGTGAGAAACAAAGTCGCACTAGTGAGAAGCGAAGTCTAAATAACATTTTCACACAATGCACACAAGACCCTTTATATGGTTGAAATATGTCCGATTGAATGAGATTCACTCTTTAGTGTATAGCAGAAGTGTGTGCATTGGCATGCAACCTACATTTTCACTGAGCAAGTAAAAAATAAACCAGTAAACCAGTGGACGATCACTGATCACTTCACTCAAATCATGCAAATCATGTTTCATTTGATGTTTTAGAATTTCCACTGAGAACGAAAATCCAATAAATTTGAAATCTGAAATCCCAAATAACAAGGTCACCAAACAGTGAAGCGCACTCTCGAACTGAAGCGGCAGAGAGATGGTGTCACAGTTTGCACCCAGAGCATATCGTATGAGCTTCAGTTGAGCTTTACTCACTCTCTCCCGCTCAAGCTTGAGTGATGTTCAGCTCTTTTTCTTTTCATTATTCCAAATAAGATGTATTGAACACCTCATAGAATCATGATGCATAGAAAGATCAGACGCTGGAGCTGATTCAGCTTGACAGGAGTGTGTGTTTGTGTTAGAAAACGCATTCATTTGATGAACAAGTGCTGATAGGACAGACGTGTTTGGAGTCTGAATGTGTTGTCAGTCGAGTTTGTGTGTTTCTCTGCAGTGCGTGTTCCTGATGCTGGCGTCTATACGGTGGGAACCGCCGTGTTTAACACACACAGTCCTCTGAGGAGTCCGACTGCGACACACACATCTGTGCCCAACACACCCGCCAAGAGTGTGGAGGTAAACAC